GTGATCTTGAATTCATGAAAGTTTATGCACATGTGCTCTCTCTCTCCCCCACTAAGGTTTTAGTTAGTGTATAAGGTGCATATCTACCCTGCCTGCTGTTTGACTTCAGATTAACACAGCTAACTACCTCTCAGAAACATATAGAAACACAATCAGAAAGCCTAAGGTACAAAATAAGATTCAGCCCAGAAAGGCTTTTTAAATGCATTTACATTAAAAGGAAGACAAAAGAATGAACAGGTCTATTACTTAGTGGGGAAGGAGAACAAACAATGCTGACACAGGGAGCCAAAGTACTCAATGACTTTTTGTTTCACTCTTCCCAAAAAGGTTAATTATGATGGGGCACTTACAATAACAAATGAAACAAATGTAAACCATGTAGAGACTCTTTAGATAAGCATGGTGTGTTCAGATCAGCAGGGCCAGATGAAATTCCCTCTACAGTCAGGAGCAATCTCTATACTTACTCCATGTTGCATCTGGCCTGTGGGGCTAAAAGCTTGAGCACCACTGGTCTAGATCAGGCTGCGGTGACACACAGAGGGTGCATGTGCACCCCCCCACCTCCCCCCAGTCAGCACGATTTGCTACAGGGAGGGACCCCCCCTCCCCTGGTTGCCAACTGGCCGCTGGGGGGGCAAGCCGCCCCCCCCCTTCCACCCCTCCGACTCAGGAGGCACCAGTTGCCCATGGATCAGGGGTGTCAAACATACAGGCCACAGGCTGGATCTGACCCACAAAGCCTTTCTGTCTGGCCATTCAGACAGGGGTTAGGGGGCATGGCCTGCCACAGAATGTGGGACCCTTCAGCTCCAATGGCTCTGGCCATCAGCAGCGAGCTTGGCTTGCTGTTGCAGTCACCCCTGGGCCCCTCATGCATTAGCCCAGGACTCCTGCTGCTGCCAGACCTCTGGCCTCAAAGCACTTGCCACAGCCAGACCTGCTGCTGCCATTGCTAGACTCCTTGCCTACCTGACCCCCTTCTGCCTCCTGTGGCCAAGGCAGCCAGCATCCATGCCCCAGGATGCCTGATTACCAAAGAGTCCCACAGGCTAGATTCATCCCAGGGTCCTAGGTGAGTTTGACACCCTTAGTCTAGATCAAATCACTATACTGTGGATAAAAAACTGATTGAAAACACACATTCAAAATGTAATCATCACCATCAGACCTGGCAGGCATTTCCAGAGGAGTCCTGTAGATTAGAAGTCTACTCAAGCCTAGTTCCACTCAATAGCTTTGCTAAGGATTGTACAATCAACTTATAAGACACTTAGAAAAGACACTTATAAAATATACAACCCTGAGCTGGGAGGAGTCGCAAGAACTCTGGAGGAAAGGATGAGCATTCAAAATGATCTTTATGAATTGAAGACAAGGTCTAAAAATCAGTAAGGAAAAATTCAATAAAGACAAGTGCAAATACCTCACTGAGGAAAGAGAAATCAAATGCACAAATTGAAAACGAGAAATATCTAACTAAACAGCTGTGCCACAGAAAACAATCAGGAGGTTATAGTAAAACCCACAAATGGAGTCTGTCTGTCAAAAGTATGAGGCTGTTGAAAAAGAAAAAGCATGTTGGGGGTATATTAACAGGAAGCTTGCATGGAAGATGGAAGTAGTGATTATTATGTGCTATTCAGCACTAGTGAGATCTCTTTTTGTGCTATATGACATGTTTTGGGAACCAGACTTTCAGAAAGATATAAACACATTTGAGAGATGTCAGAGGAGATCAACAATAAAGGGTTTAGAAAACATGAACTCTGAGGAAAGTCTGAAGCAAAAGAGTTTGTTTAATTTTAAAACACGAATACAAGGAAGGATGTGCAGAAGAGCTAATGGTCTTCCAGTACATAACAACATAAAAAATAGGACTTGCCTGCCTTCACACTACACCCTGGAGCCGCAAAACTCCTTACAATCCAAACTGAAGCACACGATCCAAAAGACATTAAACTCATCCGCAAACCCACTACCCCCTCACAGATACCACTATGGGACCAAGAAGCTCCATATCACCAAACACCCCCATGCATATAAGCCACCCACAAAGTGACAAAATCACTCCAGAAGTGCAAGCTCCAATATATCAAATACCTAAAGCCTCTGAACACAGGCTTTAATTTCTAACTCCATGATCACTCCAAGCATATCATACCAACCCTTCCACAAACTAGCTCAAAACAATTTGGGATCTCTGGCCCTTCTATGATGCTCTAAAGGCCATTCAGAACTATATCACCCTGACTGTTAGAAATTTTCTTCTAATTTCTGTTCTATACTTACTCAAGACCAGTTGACACCCATCAGATCTGGTACCAGTATTACCCTTAACATTCATACTTTTTCTCCCTCTCCCAGTATGTATTTTCCACTTGCATTTTTAAAGATTTTTTAAAAATCCTGTCAATCTTTGTTTCCTAAGCTAAAACATTTATATACTTTTAATCTTCCTCCATAAAATAGGCTCTCCATTCCCCTGATCTTCCGAGTCACCTGCACCTGTTCCAGTTTAAAATTTAGCTTTTTGGGCATGGGTGACCAGAATGGTACAGAGCAATCTAAATGGGGTCTTATTGCTGGCTTCCAATGCAGTACCAATACTTCCCTGTCGCTATTAAAAATAGCCCTCCAACCTCTTCCTAGCATCACATTCACTGTTTAACATTTGCATCACACAGACAACTCATCGTTGTTCTACATCAGTGTTACGGTTGGATATACTGAGACAACTCTCCTTCTCTGTCATCCCTAGTTTATAAACCCATACTTTACAACAGACATTCTTGGTATTAATCCTAAAGTGTATGACTTTGCACTGGGTTTTATTACATATCGTATTATCTCCATGACTCCAATCCACAGGATGATTTAACTCTTCCTGCAGGATAATCCACTCCTCATCAGTCCTGGCCATACCTTTCAGTTTTGTGTCATGTGCCAATTTTAAAAACAAACACTACGGGTTTGCATCAAAGCCACAAATAAAAATATTAAACAGGATCGGTTCCAAGGTCAATCCCTAAGGAACAACACAGTAATCTCTGTCCATTCCAGTAACTTCCCTTTTAATGTAGTTTACTGAAGTCTCAGTCTGCTCCTCAGCCACCTTACAATTAGTGTTAATCTCCACTTTAGATGATAATTTCACAGACGGTTAAAAAAATGTTGGTCTTAAATCTAAATACATTTGGTCCATTCTATCACCCTGATATAAAAAGTCAGTCACCCTGGGTGCAAATACATGTGCTATTAATGCACGTGAATAAACTCTGGTGCGCTTCACACCAGAATTTACTGCTCCTAGGTGCAGTGTTTATACATGTGTGCAGAACTGCAGCATGTTGAGTGGGGGCACAGACCTGGCTGGTGGTGAGCCCTAGGGATCAGCCCGCCAGCCCAGAACTGCTCTGCCCCAGCTCAACATGCTGCAGAGGGGCTGGCTGGGGCATTAGGG